TTTTAAAAGCCTAATTTTAAGTTTTTGAAGAAGTTTAGCTTCATGTTCCAGCCTTGCATCAATAGACTTGGTTTCCTTGAGCAATCACATTTGGTGACAGATCTACAAACAAAAAACAATTTCTGTTATTTGTCAAGTTTTTCCAACTCCAGGTGTTCACCCACACACACACACACACACACACCTTACCTTTTTGCAGCTCTTTAGTCCATCAAATTTTCTGGCTTGGTGCATCAATTAGCAAACATGACCCTAGGAACACACCTAGTTATTCCAAACTTTGGCTTTAGCACAACCTGATTTTTATGGAGTGTTTAGAACTAGACAGAATTTAGTCCTACAATAAAAAAAGACATTATGGCCACACAGCCCAATGCCTTGTACACTTCAATTTTCAATTAAAGGAACTTGGAAAGATTTCATAGATCTTTGATACAAATTTTAGTCTAGTCGTCTTTACAGTTTCTAGAATTATTTTCAGTGATGGGTTCACAGATGAGCTTAAAAACAAAACTTTGTGGTGAAAAAACAGAATTAAATGAAAAAAACTATAAAGATTTTGTTCTAATTAGCTTTATGTCTTTGTCAGTTTGAAGTCGTATTCACGAACAACAACAAAATAAAATCTACAACCAAAAAACAAAATACATCATAAACTCTAAGCAGCACCCTCCAAAGCTCAAAGTGGAACAGCTGGAAGCAAACAAAACATCATGTTTTCCAGTATTCATAACCATGACTGCTGCTGCCGAACATAAMACAAATCCACATTTCAAAGGTTTGGCAGGATTTATTCCTTCAGGAAAACCTTTCAGTAGGACTTTGTATAGATTCCAGACCAAGTCACTTTAATGCTTTTAGTTGGACTGTAATCATGTGGGTTTATTTCCCTTAGTTACATTCTGTCAGATGTCCCCAGCACAAAGACCATCTTTTTTAAATTGTGAACTGATTTCTCATATTTCACTTCTTTCTGTAACATTTGAATGAATATTTGTAAGCATTTTAAACAGACTGCTTCTTTGTAAAATATTTTTTGATCCATACATTCATGGTGGGGTAGTGGTTCTGAGGCAAACTGCAGCATAGATATCTTGTATAAAGGTGCACCCACTTATAGCATCTTTTGTCAGTAAATATGATCTACAACCAGTTTATCTGATTACTCTGCTGCTTCAAATRCGGTTTTAATCCATCCTCTTAACCTGCTTCTTTCAGGGTCTCTGGTGCCAACAGAAAGAACTCTGGCCAGGATTTAATCCAGCAATCTTTTTGCTGAGAGGCAACAACAGCTCTACCAACTGAGCCAACGTAACATCACAACAATTTAGAAACACTTGTTATTAGATATTAAAACAGTTTTGGTGATAAGTTTACTTTATACAGTGGGGTGCGAAAGTTTGGGCAGCCTTGTTAATTTTCCTGATTTACCTTTATAAATCATTGATTGGATGAAAAAAAATCTGTAAAATATATCATATAGGGGACAAACACAGTGATATTTGAGACGTGAAATGAAGTTGACATGATTTACAGAAAGTGTGCAATAATTAGTTAAAYAAAATTAGGCAGGTGCATAAATTTGGGCACCATTGCCTTTTTAWTGATTTCAAAACCTTTAGAACTAATTATTGGAACTTAAATTTGGTTTGGTAAGTTCARTGACCCTTGACCTCCATACACAGGTGACTCCAGTTATGAGAAAGGGCATTTAAGGGAGGCAATTGTAGGTTTTTCTCCTCTTTGCATCTTCTCTGAAGAGTGGCAGCATGGGAGTCTCAAAACAACTTTCAAATGACCTGAAAACAAAGATC